AGGGGATCTGATGCTTTCTTCTGTCCTCTCCGGGCACTGCATGACACGGGTGCACTTATACACATGCAGGCATTAACACTCGTATACATAAACTAAAAAAAAATAAATGTTTTTTTAAAAAGCCATCCATCCCATCTGAGACCAGCTCATGTGCTCTCTTTCTGTGGTAGGTGGTGCTGTGTTTTGACCGGGTGTTCTGGGATCCAAGTGTCAATTTGTTCGGGCATGTTGGCAGTACTACTGCTAGCAGGGGCGAGCTATTCCTCTTCTGGAACCTATATAAAGGTAACTGTTTTCTAGTTTTAAACTTTTCATGCCCTTATAGGAACACAGAATACTGGGAGTTTAAAAAATATATATGCCTTAATTTTTCTTCTCATTAATTTAAATAAGCAATTCCCCAAAATTCCTTCTAAGTGTTAGGAAGAAAGGCCATTAAGAGATGTGCTTCCTAGAAGGGGAGTTTGTAGCCCTCATCCTGAGACTATTACATCTGACTTGCCCCCCCCAACCTTTAATTACTTCCTTAAAATGAAAACAATCTCCTGTACCATTATTTTCTTCTGTAATTGGTTGATTCCTAACTAACAAGCTAAATGGAATAGCCTCTTCAAGAGAATGAAGAGCAGGCATTTCCTATGTAGGCATTTCCTGCTTAGGCCATCCATGGCCTTGGCAATGTGGACATGTTGCTGACCCTCACTCTGGCCTTGTCCTCCATCCCCTCCTGTGTGGGGGGTGGTGAAGAGGCATTCATACCCTAGGGCTCTTGCTATACCAAGGAGGTATCCTTTCCATGGCTCAAACCAGGCCATTGGGTCCTGTCAGTGCCAGCTTTGTGACCTCCCCGCCTCCCAGACCTGGGCATTCCTTTTCCACTACTGTCTCCCCTGACAGTTGCCAGTAGTTACTAGTATCCTTGCTTCCATTGATTGCTTTGCATTAAGAAAAACACTGAAATTTCTTACGAAGTTGTCTACTAAGCCCTTCATAATCTTAACCTTTTTCTTCTTCCCTGTGCCTGTCTTAACTCCCCAGCTCTAGGAACTTGTGTCTGCTTTCAAATCTTGGGATATGACATGCTGCTTTGTAGTTCAGAGCTTTTGTGTATATTGTTCTCTTTCGCAGCCTGGCTCCCTGTGCTCAGCTTTCCATAGCTTGGGCTGAATGTCAGTATTAGAGGCCTTCTAGGACACACACATTCTTATTCTGGCATCTAAATTAAGTCCCTGTATTTTCTCTTGTATGTCATAGCTTTACCACAGTTTATGATTATGTTTGGTTATTTACTTGTTGGTCTGATGTAGTTCATTTTTTACCTCCCCAGAATCTAGCTAAGCCCTCGGCTGTCATGTAAGCCTACTGACTAAAAATTTACCAAATGGATGACTAAAGATAGTGACAGGTGTGGAGGGGTCCAAGCTAGCTAAGGGGGATATAGTTATTGCTGTGGAACCATGTACCTAAATGTAGAAATGTTGTCCTTTTGACCTCTGAAAGTCTTAAGCACAAAAGTGCCCATCAGTCTCTGGTGAGAGCTCAGAATCAGCTTGCTTCCAGCATTTGTGTAGTACTACAGTGGCTCGTCATCATTTCATAGCACCAACAACAAAGCAGCAGGGCCTGACAGGACTTGTACTTTTGAATAAAGTATATAAAACCCTGGAATTGTCCTTTCTGTTTCCCCAGCTCCAATACTGTTGGCCCTGGTGGCAGGAGAAGCTGCTGGAATCATGGAGAATATCAGTGATGATGTGATTGTTGGCCGGTGCCTAGCTATTCTCAAAGGGATTTTTGGCAGTAGTGCAGTGCCCCAGGTAGGTGGACAAACATCAAGACTAAACTAGGATTTGGCTTGTTTGCTGTCTTTGTAGCCCAGGTTCTTGGTTAGGACACTCCATATCAGAATGGAGATATGCTGAGTTGACAGTAATTTTAATGTTGGGAGATTGAGTCATTGACAAAGTTTGTCTAGGACATGACCTGGGGATGCTCATGTGCTAGCTTTGTTTCTCCCTTGTGTAGAGTCACACACTACAATGCGGCTACAGTGAAACGTCTGCAAAATCTCAAGAGAATTTCTTGGTAAATTATTTTATAGGCCAACTGTAAAACTTTTAGCCTCTTGTGGGTTCTTTAAATGAAGGTGAATTAACACTGTGACTTATAAAAGAGCAAAGGTCACGTGCTGCCTGTGTCCCTGGATTCATAGATAAGGTGGTAACATAGAAGCTTCTGTCTGGTCTTTTTGCCTCTGTACATCTTAAAGCAGCAACATCTGTCACCTGGCTGTCACATCTTGCCTCCTGTATATCCTGTATACCTTTAAGAGATGACTGGTTTGTCCTGGTTTCAATGACTTTTGCTCACTGTTTTTCCTGTATATAGCCCAAGGAAACTGTGGTGTCTCGTTGGCGTGCTGACCCCTGGGCCCGGGGCTCCTATTCCTATGTAGCTGCAGGATCCTCTGGAAATGACTATGACCTAATGGCTCAGCCAATTACTCCTGGCCCCTCGATTCCAGGTGCCCCACAGGTGAGAAACTGGAAAGCTGTACCTAGGCCTGTTTGAGGAAAGGCCAGGAGCTCAGGGTAGAAATAATGTCACTGGCTCTTTTAGACTTTAGTCATTGTATCCTTAAACCCTTCAGATAGTGGCACACTATTTCTCATATTGTGGCTTTGTAAATGCAGGTAGTCTACATTAAAAATGGAAGTCTAGAGTATGTACAAGTCAGTAGCTTTTTCCTCTTTCCTCAGCTTTTCCCACTTTATAAAAAGCCCTGTTTGAGGGCTGGAGAGATGGCTCAGCAGTTAAGAGCAGAAGAACCAAGTTGGGTTCCCAGCACCCATATGGTCATTTAAAGCTCCAGTTCCAGGGGATCCATTGCCTCCTTTTGGCTTCTGTGTGCATTTGCACACACATTAATAGACATATAGTCTCTCATATAGTCCTATTTTTAATTATACCTCATTTTATGGTGGCTCATTTGATTGCTGCGGAGTCTGCCCCAGTCTCCAGAGCATTGTCCCAGAGAAATAGCCCTGGGTACTTTACCTAAACTGAGCCAGACCTTATTTCAAAGAGTCGTCCTCAGTATCATAGCCCAGAACTTGGTGCCTCCTCTGAACTGGTAAGTCAAAGCCTTCCTAAAAAGGAATGCTTTACTCCCCATGGTTCAGTTCTTAGGCTCCCTTGCTTACCTAGCGTGTTAGGTACTACATGAAGTAAAGGAACTCTAAATGTTGAGAACTGGTCAACTTGATCAAGAGAGACTTTGGTAGGCTGATGAACTAACTAGCAACAGGGGCATATCAGTTTTCAGAGGTCAGCAGGAATTTGGCAATTCACAAGAATAAAGATGAGTTTGCATCCTCATTTCCCCCGAAATAGCCAATCCCACGACTCTTCTTTGCGGGAGAACACACAATCCGGAACTACCCAGCCACAGTCCATGGTGCTCTGCTGAGTGGGCTGCGAGAAGCAGGAAGGATTGCAGACCAGTTCCTGGGAGCCATGTATACCCTGCCTCGTCAGGCCACACCAGGTGTCCCTGCACAGCAGTCCCCAAGCATGTGAGACAAAAAGGATCTGAAGGAAGAGGCCTGACTTGTCCTTTGCCATGTAAACAAGCTCTTCTAGCAATACTGGATTCCATACTGGCATCAGCTGCCTGGAGCTCCTAAATGACAGCAGAGGCTGGCTCCTTTGACTGACAGCACAGGGAACAACTTGTCCATTAATCTGGAATTGTGTCTTTATCAAGACTGAAGCAAGTGCTGTGATACAACATTTTAGTCTCTTGGTGTTTGGTTTTGTTTTTTAATATATTTTGAGAATAAAACTTCATATAAAATTATTTCTCCTTTGGATTGGTGTTATACACAAGGTATTCAACGGAGGGGTGTTATGCCTTTGGAAATTTTACCTTATGACCATAGGATATGAATTTTCTTTGTTTATATAAGGATACTGATGGAAAGGAAAAAGGTTCAAGGTTGAGGAGGCGAAGGTTCTCTCACTGAGCTCCACTTAATTTATGTGGATGAGTGTTTGCTCGCATGTATACACATGCATGCCTGATGCCTGCAGAGACTAGAAGAGGGCACCAGATCCTTTGGAACTAGAGTTACAGTTGAGAGTCACGATGTGGGTGTCAGGTACCAAATTAGGGTCACCCACAGGAGTAACAGGAGTAACCCTCTTAAAAAATGTAAGTGCAACAGTACTTTGCAGTGCCTGCAGAGGCCATCAGATGCCTTGGAACTGGAGTTACTGAAGGTTATTGGCTGCCTTGGGGGTGCTGGGAACTAAACCCAGGTCCTCTACAAGAGCAGCCAGTTTTCTTAACTGCTGAGCCATCCTCCAGCCCCACCTCTCATAATTATTAATGGCAGTCTACTAACTGGGCTGAGGACCACATTTATTGTCGTTTCTTTGCCCTTTCCAGCTTCTAGTGCCTATGGGGTACCTTGTAGTTGAATTGTCTATGAGGCTACTGTGATTATACATCCTACCATCTCAGAATTCTTAATGCAGTATCTGCAAAGTCCCCTCTGCCATCTAAGTTGTTTTTACAAGAAGAGAACAGAAGTATTCTTGCCAGAGATCAGTTTTTAGTGTCAGTTCTTCCTTACTGAATCAAGTTTTGTCTTTGGAGACAGGTCTTGCTAATGCCCCAGCTGGCCGTGAACTCAAGACCCTCCTGTCTCAGCTTCCAGTGTGCTGGAATTACAGGCCTGCACGACCATGCCCACCTCTAAATGAAGTTTTACTGAGGAACATCATATTGGGGCCTATATAGCTAGAAGATGAAAATAGAGTCAGAGTGAGTGACAACACTAGAAAAAAATTCACTGAAAAATAGCCTGACTCTGGTGAGAACTGCTTCAGTGAAATGAGCTTGGTTTAAAGTACATCCTTACTGCAAAGTCCACCTCTGCCACTGCTGTCCTAGGGGGTGCGATCCAGTCAGTGGCTGGTGTTTTTGAAAGTGGTGCAGGCAGTTTGAGTTTTGGTTGGGATTGGTGACTACAGAAGCCTGAAAAGATAGCAGAGGTAGCTGCTGATTCTAACCGATTCAGTTATGACAGTCCTTACAGCATAGTGAAGCTCTACATCAGCACCAATTCAGAGACAACAGCTGCACCCAGAAATGACACAATTGGCGTCATTGACTCAGAGGAGCATATGGAAAGGAGGGAGCTTTATTGGTTACAATATTGTGCTGCAGAGCCAACAGAGAGCATTACAGCCAAAGGATACATGCAGACAGGCAGCTTCAACTATACACATGCACCCAAGGAGCCCTGAGCCACTGCCTGTGGCTGTGCCCTGCTTTCCAGAGGCAAGTTCTGGCCTCTCTGGTCCCATTTTTGGAGCAGGAATGTAGAAGCTTCTGCACCTAGACTCCAAGGGGCAGAGGTGAGGCCAGAGCACCTGTCTGATCAAGTAGGTGTGGACCAACAGAGCTGGTATCCCCACCAGAGGGGCCTATCATGCATAAGTTTATTAAGGGCTATTTTCATAGCCCTCCCAATCTTTAAAATACAAAAAATAGACTTTATTCTCTTAAAAATACATTCCATTCAGTACATGTTCTGAGCTGTGAAGCAGCAGGAAAATAGGACCCCTTTCCTATGCTCGTGGTTGAGATGTTGAGGAGAACCCTGTTCCCCACTTGGGGCATTCATAAGATAATCCTTAGAAAGCAGCTCTTCCAAAGCAGTCTCGTGAGAAAAGAAACCCACGCAAACAAAGGCAGCCAGGGACCAGCCTTGGTCCCTGTTCCTCTACTGGAAAGTGATAGCACTTGGCACTGACCTAAATCTAAACAACTAAAACTGGCCCAGGACAAGAAGTCCAAGAATACTCTCGAAACACCTGCCCCTGCTGCATGAGAGGGATGACTGGTGTGCAAGCTTGCTGAAGCCCTGGCCCTATTCAGATCCCGTTACCCCATATTCTTCATTGTTTATTGCCACTCAAACCAACCTGCCACAGCTTCCTTGAGCACTGTCTATAGCTTTTTCTGATGTGTCAGTACCAAAGCAGCAGGTGGATGACGCCAGCTTCTGGCATTTGGCCAACTCTTCTTTGTCAGCTCTAGGACCAGGTTCCTCTACTCAAAACTAGAACCACATTATCAGCTGGCTCAATTCTAGACATACACCCAGACTGCAGAAGAGAAGCACTTATAAAAGTGGGTTTCTTGACTGGCTATAGGAGTATGTGGCTTGATTAGATAATGGTTCAACCACAGGTGTCCCTTGTACTTACTTGAAAGCTTCCTCTGGCATTTGGCTTGGGTCCAAATGGTCACACCTTGGTTGTCCTGAAATGATGTGCCTTCCAACTTTGGAATGAGCTGGTCTAGTTGGCCGTTGAAGCCCAGAGGAACTAAGCCCTCCAGCCTATAAACATTATTTTCTGCAATGCTTGAGGACATTTAAAAATAAAATTACTTTACAGCGGTTCTACAAAGTGTGCAGGTTAAACATAAAATATCCTGAAATAATTGTTACAATCAAATGCTATTGCACTCAGATTTCAGAATGGCAGCCCACAGCTATCCCTTTTCCACAGAAAGCATTTTGAGTAGCAGCAGGTGTTGGTGTTGCTAAAATGTGGAAAGATCCAGACTTTGGCACCAGGAGCTGTATACAGCACCAGAATCCAGGGCTCAACACCCAAAGACAAAAATTATTGGTGAGATCCTCTGAGGCACGGCTTAGTGCCCTTCTGTTTCCATCAGCAGAAGAGCCACAGACCTGGTTCCTGTACTTTTCAGTGGACCACTACAGGTCTGTTTCCTTTTAACTTTCCCAGGGTTGCCAACTGGTACAGGAGAATTGGGGGGCGGGGGGTGCTACTGCTGCAAGTGAAAGGTTGCAGCCTTGAGTGAGGGTGTTTTGGGGCAGTGACCCAAAAGCAGCAGCAGGAACAGATCTTGAAAACACTACCCTAGTTGTACATCAGTTGGGATGTGGAGGCAAGCCACATGACAATGCCCTTACATGAGCAAAACTCCGTAAAACAGAGGTATGACCAAGACATTCCTGTCCCTGGGGGAAAAAAAAAAAGACCCACACCCCGTCAGGATGGCTGAGTCTGATACAGATGAGGGCAAATGAATGCCAATCATGTGCTGAGTAAGAGCAGAGGAGACTACACACAGCCCTCTTAAGGAAGTCCTGCATCTTCCCTGTCACCAGGAAATTCACAGGAGAGGAACAGGAGCCACACAAACATGTTCTAGAAAGCACCTAGCCTGAAAGCCAGGAGATGTGGCATTGGGCAAGGCCAGTGCCACATAGACCTGAGACCATCCAATCCAATTTCTTAACCTCACAGACTAGAAACAGGCCTTAGGGGGCTTGAGCTCATCTCCATGACAGAAACATGAGAAAAGGTGTAAGAACTGAAGGCAGAGAGATGATCCCAGAGCCCCTATCCCTATGGATAACATCTATCAAAAGCAAAAAACAGCCCACACCACAAGGTGAAAACAAGTTTGGAATGTCAGAGATAAGGCCCCTAGACATCATCCACTCCAAAGAACTCATTTGGGCTGGAAAGCAGCACAATGGCAAAGTGCTTGCCTAGTATGCTCAAGGCTCTAGGTTCAATCCCCCAGCACCCCACCTCCCCCAATAAAAGCACTCACTTTACAGATAGGGAAACAGACTCCAAGAAGACAATGACTAACCCAGGGTCACAGAGCAAGGAAGTAACAAAGCCATGAGGGTATAGGGAAGCAGCTTTCCAGACTCCTGGTGGGATGCTTTCTTGCTATGTCAGCAACAGCATCTGCTTCACATAGGTAGCCATGGAGGGTCCCTTTCAACTGAAAGAAAAAAGCTACAGGAAAAGCAGTGCCAAGCATGTATAGCTTGTAACCTCCCCATGTGGTTTGCATAAGGAGATGAATACATATTTATCCGGCTTCCTAAAAGGCTTAATGCACTTTGAACTGCATAAATCGGCCCTCAACAGGCAGGTATCTGCTTTCCTCCAATGAAATCACTGTAATGATAGTCTATTTGCAGGTATCAAGGGCTTTTGTAGGAACATGCATCAGTGTGGTAAAGTGCAAGGCCTCCTCCACGGGGGATGAAGGAGAGATGGGAGGGAGTATTCAGTCAGTGTCTTTCATGGAACTACTGCTTGTGGAGTGACTGAATGAATTCACTTCTTGTTTGCTGTTCTTCTTGCTGGGCACTTCCCAGAAGACAGAGTATGCCGGGTCACGCCCAGCTCAGTCAGGATTTTCCCAAGATGAGAGTGTTGAAGAGAGAACCAAGGTAGTGCCAGCAGCATTACTGGTGCCCAGGGAAGGAGATGCATGAGACTTGTCTGTTTCTGGGTGCTTTTGGAAGGTGGGTAGGGTGGGGGTGGTGTCATCCCACTGGGCATTGTGCTCTGCCCACCCAAGAAACTGGTCAATGAAGAGGCCAGGTCAGAGAAGCTGCAATCTAAGGGTGGTCCCATAATCACTCAGGGGCAGCATAGACTCCTTTTCGTGCTTCCAAATTCTGAAGAACTCTAAGAGGAGAAGGAAGGTAAGCCCCCTGGATGGAACTGATGACTGATAACACTTAATTGTGTCCTTGATGGCGTCCTTCACGGCAAACAAGGAGCCAACTGTAAGTTGTGAGACAAATCGGCATTAGCCACACAGCAAAAGGGCTGGTCTTCGATATATAGAAACAACTCACGAAGGAGGAGAAAAGAGCTTTTGGCTACTGTCACATGGCGGGGAGTTTCTGTAACTTCCCATTTGGAGGTCAGAGTGGTCCGTGCTACCTTGAGGGCAGATATAAGGAGAAGGGGACTCATGCATCAGGGAAGGCTGGGCCTGAGTGACTATATGGTTTGTAGTCTCTGATCTTGTCTGGACAACTGGCAAAAAAAAAATTACCTGAGCCATAGCCTGGCTCTCTACATGTAGTCTCCCAGCCAAGGTCTGGCCTTGGATCCTTCACAGGCCAGAAAGGGGGAGGAGCTGAGAAGCAGGAACGAAGGAGAAACAGCAGATTTCACCTAGCTGGTTCAGTGTTCCTCAGCACAGGGCCTGGCTGGCTGCAGTTCCTCAGCCCGGACTCGCCCTGGCTCTGGCAGCCCCTGCTTCCCAGGCAGTTCAGAATGCTCCAGGGGATTGTGCAGTCGCCTGCTGACACCAACTGTGCAGTCCTCCCCTTCCTCCTGTGCCAGTAAGTGACAAAAATGAGAAAAGTGAGCAGCCAAGACAGTAATGGGACACCCTCACCTCCCAGCCTAGTAAGGTCCCTCCAGCCTGGCACAGGCACTATATAACTGCAAAGATATTTTTGTGGAGGCACAGGCCAATATAAAACTCTTTGGAAATCAGAAGCCACCAAGAAGCTCACAACTGAACAGAAGCCTGTTATAGGCCAGAGCCCAGAACAGGAATATGGGGGAAAGGACCCCTAAATGGCATGTGTGAAAGCCACATCCTTGGTGAGTGGCAGGTGTATGCTGAAGAGGTTGGACAGCTCTTTCTCTACTTCCTACCTCTGATCTACCAAAAAGCCACTTGCTTTCCCCTTTATACCATGTTTGACCCTTGGCTTGTACCTTCCCACTCAGATGGCCAAATCCTCAGGAATCTAGATAGATCTTTCTCAATTCTGCTTTTTCAATTCTTTGTCAAACAATGAAAGTATAAGGTAGGTTAGCAGGGTAGAAAGCATATTGGATGTACAGACAGCAATCTTAGATAAAAATCTTAAATTCTTCATTTATTCATTTGGATGACCTTGAGCAAGGCACTTTGTGGCCCTTATCTTTAGACATTCATGTCAGAAAAATGAAGATAGAATTTATTCACAGAGCTGTTTTAAGGGACTGAATAAGACACTGGATCAGGCCAAGTGTTAAGTACCAATGAAGACCGACAGACTTGTTCTCAAGTCTCAAGTTAGTTCTGGATTTATTTGTCCTGTAATGAGCCACACTGAACCAGCCTTGCCCTCAGACAGAGACTACAATGGGTCAGACCTATCTGGGACAAAAGAAAGTGTAAGGTAGGCCGAGGGTCAGCCCTCACTCTCTCCTATATGCCAGCAGCTCACAGAGACCTGCTGAGGCAATAGAACAGGAGGAGCCTATCCACCATCTTTGCTCCTGTGTGTCTAATGGGCACCCAGAACTTCCTGTCAATTGCTCTGGAACTCCTCAGGTGGACCAAGGAACAGATGCCACTTCCTGTTTGCCTCACCTTCCACGTGAAAGCAAAGTGGAGAAGACAAATCCAATGAGATTTGGAAAAGTCACGCTGCTTTCCACCAAACCTACCTAATTTCAAAGTTCTCAGTCATCTAAACCATGGGTCTCACAGATCAAAAAAGAGGGAAGGACAGGAAAGTGAGACTCACCATGCTCACTGAGTGGTTCCAGGCTGCAGCCATGATGGTGTCTCCTACCCGATTCCTCCGGGTGAGCACCTCTGAAACGGTGAGGCTACTTTGGGTCCTTCTGGAGGAAAGCTCAGGCGCATCCCCTGAACTCCCTACCTTTCGAGTGCCCTGCTCGGAAAGGTAGGATCTGGGCTGTGCAAGTTCTGAGAAGTCTGTGGAAGACCTCTGAGTGTAAGCATTAATAGATTCCATGTTTCTACCTATTGGAGTCGGGGAGTCATCTGAAAATTTCATGTCTCGCTTACTCTTCCAGGCATTCCGCACAGTAACATGTCTGGTGTCTGAGGAGCCCATCTCTGAAGGGGCACTATGGCTTTTCCACCTGATTGTCTCCGCTGGGGGAGCATGGCTATTCCTTTCCACGGGATCTGATGGCTTAATTAGAATACTGCTCCGAGAGACCACCATCTCTGGCCTGTTCCTTAGAGACCCATCTCCCATTCTTTCGGCTTCTGTGAGCTGCAAGGCGATGTCATGTTTATGAATAGAAAGCTCAAAAGGGGAGCTGACATGGTTGTTAACTGGTGTGAGCTCTGGGGGCCCCACGTGGATGTTGCTGGTGGACGTGTGCCTTTCTCTTAGGGCCTCACCTGGGTTGGCTCTGGGGCCACTACTGTCAGAGGGGTAAATAGTGATGCTGCTTGTCACTTTGTTTGGCCCAAGTTTAGAGGTGGATCTCTGTTTTTCCAATACAACTTCAGTTCCAGATCCTCCCATGACTTTTTTCACATCTTTATCAATGATAACAGGTTTAATGACTGCTCTCGACCTCAAGGCCTCTCTGGGGCTAAAAGGCCTTTGGTTTTTTGCCCCAGCACCATTGACATCTGGGAATTCCACAGTGGTGGGGGAAGCTCTGATAGGTCTCACAGACTCATTTTCTATTGCAGCATTTTTATCGTTTTCAAATAGGGAGGTTTTAGGTGTCCCTCGGGACTTGGCTTTTTCTCTAGAATGTGGCTGTAGCTTGGGCTCTGGCTCTGGAGTGATGGTTGTATTCACCAACTTGGCAGTAACAAGAGATGCCATGTCCAAGTCATCATCTGAATCTGGCTTCTCTTTGCCACTGGACTTGATGACACGGCACCTAAGGGCTTCATGCTGACTGCTGTCTTCCATCACAACTCCTACAGGTTGGTCAACTCCTTCTTTGTTTGAGGCTGAAAATCCCTGAAGGATGTTCTCTTGGCTTCTTGAACTATAAGGATACTTTGATAAAATAGAAGCCTTAGAATTTGGGAGACTGACATCAGCCTCCAGGCCATTTGTAGCCTTTTTGCCCTTAGAAAGCCCTTCTGAAGAAGCTCTTCTAGATGAGGACAGAGCTCCAGTGGCCTTAGAACAGACAGAATCTGCAGCCTGAGTTACGTGACTTCCATTGCCAGGCACCTGTCCCTTCTTGCCAAAGTGGGCCTCAGAGAAGGTGTCAGAAGTCTTGTCACCTCTGCCCGTTATATCATTGAGAACAGACCCATGGGTGGTATCACTAAAAGTTCTAGTTGTCTTCTCTACCTTTCCCTTAAGTCCACTCTCAGTGCCTGGCTTGGGAGTTCCCTTCCAAACTTTAGTGTGCTCTTGGGCAGCTGGGGGGTAGCGGCTAAGCACTGATGGCTGCTCCCTGGTCTTCTTCCCTTCACTCTGAGAGGACCCAGGTGCAAATCGCTCTTCTGTTCTCTTTGTTTCCTGAGACCCACTGTCTGCACCTGCCCCCATGTTGGAGGCTTTGGCTGCTCTCCTGTTGGTGAAACTGGGAGATGAAGCCTGCTTGTTGGTCAGAGAATAGTTGTCACTGTTGAGAGCAAACTCCCTGTTCCGGAATCTTTCCCGCTTATGTTGAGGAGACAATTCCCGGAGTGTGTGCTTGGACACAGATGCCTTAGTCCTCTCGTGCCTGCCTCTACCAGACAGGAGAGCGTCTTCCCCTTCTACTTCCCCATTTTCCAGCTCTTTCTGTTTCTTGATTTGTAACTTTATCTCTTCCAGCTGGCTAGCTAAGATTTTGTTTTTATTTTGTTCACTCAGGTAATTATCCTGAAGGTCATTATTTTGGGCCCTCATTTTCTTAAGCTCTTCTTCTAAGGATTCAAAATGTCTGATTTGTGTCTTCAGTTTCTCGATCTCTTGGTTAAGGTCTTTGACTTTATTGTCTTCCTGATTTCTATTCTTTTCATTTTCTAATTTGTTTCTTGTTTCATTCTCTACCTGCTTTAGATAGTCCAGAGTGCCCTTCCTTCTTGACTCTTTGGATGGCAGTGTGGAAGAGATGCCATCCTCGATCCGTAGGTCATTCCTTTCCAGAAGATTAGAAGCATTCCTTGTATAATCTCGGTTCATTTTCTTGTTCTGCTCCAGTTTTTGAGTGAGTTCTTTAATCAATTTCTCATTTTCTTTTTCCTTTTCATTCAGGTATTTTCTCTCACTCACAAAGCTCAGAGTTAATGATTTTAGCTTCTCTAACTCTGACACTAAACTCTGCTCGGTTTTATCGAGGCGGTCCTCAGAAGATTCCAGTTCTTTCACTTTGACTCTGAGCACTTCCAGCTCAGAAGAGATTTTCTTGGTCAGATTCCTCTCCTCATTCAGGCTCAAACAAAGCTGGGTACATTCATTCTTGCTCCTGCTAAAGGCCTCCTCTAGCTTCTCTAACTCAGCCATTCGCTTCTGAAGCCGCTCGATCTCTGATTTTAGCTCCCGGGTAAGGTTTTCCTCCTCTTCAAGTTTTTCCTTCATCATATGACACAGGTCCTCTGCTCTCTTGATCTCCTCATCTTTACCTTCAATCTTCAGCACCCGCTGGCGCAGCACCTCAATCTCAGCCAGCATGCTAGAGTTGCTGCCCTCTGCCTGAATCACCTTGTCCTGGAGATCCAGGAGCTCATCCTCAGCTTTCTGGAGGTTTTTTGTGGCTTCCTCCAACTCATCCAGACGGCGGCTTAGGCTCTGTAACTTAAACCGCAGGTGGCGGCTAGAGGCAGCATCCTTGTAGCTTCCAAGTTCTGCCATGTCTACTGCCAGCCAAGGAGGGCTGCAAGCGGCATCCAACTGCACTGGAGAAGCTAGTTACCTTTCTCTTGGTATCCACAATCTTCTTTGGCAACTGGAAACCATTATCAGTCTAAAGAATGAAAACAGAAGGTATGTGAGCAAATCAACAGCCTGTTTAAGTTAGCTCTTGAGTGTAAAAAGAACTCCAATTTACAATCCTTGTACCAAGAACACAGCTACTCAGATTTTTTTTTAATTAACAAACTTGAATAAACCTGCATAAAACCACTGTTCTTTATGGCTGACAATGAGCTGATTTAGTTTCATCCTGATGAAGGCAGCTGCCAGCACAGCATGGCAAAAACTTCAGGGAACCCCAGTTCTCATGGCAGAATTCAAGAAAATCTACCAACTTGCCACTTGCATAACCTCTAACCTTCCTGTAAGTCATTACATCAGCTGAGCCTGTTTTCCTTAGTTGTAAAATGAGGAAAACTTTCTTCCCCATGCCCTTCTGAGACAGACAGCACTGAATAATCTTGAGATTGGGGCGGGGGTGAAAAAAGGGAGGGAATAAGTGATACCTGAAATAGTACTAAAATTTTTGAAGAGCTGGTGAAAACTTTAACTTTTGAATTTGGGAAAAATTCAAAAAAGGATGCTTCCAACAGAAGAAAATTGAATCTGCCTGTAGACATGCAAGGATACAGAAGAAAAGCACAACACAGACTTCTTTTTTTTTTTTTTTTTAAGGCTCAATCCATTGGTGCTGCTCTAACAAAAGATCTGAAACTGGATAATTTATAAAGAACAAAGCTAGAAAGTACAAACTCAAGCCACCAGCAGGTTTCATGCTAGGTGTAGGCCTGTGTCTGTTCCTTAAGATAGCACCTTAAATCTGTGTCTTCTCCAGGGTAGAAGGAATGGAAGGCAAAAAAGATTGAATTTCTTCCCTTAAACCCATTTTTTTTTTTTTTTTTTTTTTTTTTTTTTTTTTTTCAATTATGAGACTGGGTCTCCCTGTAGCCCCAGCTGTCCTGGAACTCACTATGTAGACCAGGCTATCCTTGAACTCATAGAGATCCGCCTGCCTCTGCCTCCGGAGTGCTGGGCTTAAAGGCGTGCACCACCACACCCAGCCTTAAACCCATTTTTAAGGGTAAAGCCTCATCACCCAGATCTTATATTGGGTGAAGATTAAGTTTGAGCACTAATTTTGTGAGGAACACAAACATTCAAACCATAGCAACAATTTTTAAAGAAATATCAACTGAACCTTTAACTAGGTGGCAAGTAGAAAATAACTATATCAACTTAGAGTTATATATCCAAATAAACTACAAAAAGATAACTAAACTTCATTAACTCATCAGTACCATCAATGAACTGGACATTAGGGATATTCATAGAATGCATCCACTACCAGATGACACATTCTCAAGCTCACCTGGACATTCACATAGGACTATGTTCAAGGCTATAAAACACTGTGATGGTTAGTGCTATTTGTCAAAATTTCCAAAATCTAGACTCATCTGGGAGATGGATCTTTGGGCATACTAGTAAGGGATAATGTTTATTATATCAGTTAAGATGGGAAGACCCTTTCATTGTGGGTGGCACAGTTCCCTGACTGGGATCCTGGACTGTATAAATAGAGAAAGGGAGCTAAGCAGCAGCAAGCATTCACTACCATCTGTTCCTGACTGGATGTGATGTGACCAGTTTTGACTCCCCTGTCATGATGGACTGTACCCCTGAACTGTCAGCTGAAACAAGCTCTTTGAATTGCTTTTGTCAGGGGATTTCATCACAGCAATAGGAAAAGAAACTAAGACATAAAGCTTAACAATTAGAAAAGAAATCCACATTTACATTCTCAGACCTTAGAGGAACCAAACAAGAAATTAGCAACAGAAGATGCCTAGAGACTTAAATTTTTAAATGAGGGAAAATACAACTTATTAAAACTTGTAGGATGATGTAAAAGCATTGCTTAGAACTTTATGGCATTAGATACGTATGTTAAACAAAGATCTAGTAATCAGTCATCTATAACCTTCCATCTTAGGAAATTAGAAAAGGGCAAAGTAAGCAAGGTGTGATGGGATGGTATTCCAGCCCCCAAGGCAAGAACAGCAGGGTGATTGCTTAAATGCAGAAGGTGGGCAACACAGTGAGGCCCCTGGCTATCAATTAATTACTTAAGTAATTAATCTGTTCATTAAAATTAAGCAGAAGAAAAGAAATGGTAAAAAAAAAATTGAGTAGAAACCAATGGGGGAAGATAATGAAACCCAAAACTTGCTCTTGGAAAAGATTATAAATGGGACTGGAGAGATGGTTCAGCAGTTAAGAGTGCTTGCTACTCTTGCAGAGGACTCGAGTTCCATCCCCAGCACCCAGGCTGGGTGACTCACAACCACCTGTAACTCCAACTTCAGGGGATATGACCCCAGTTCTGGCTTCCAAGGGCATTGTATGCAGGTGGTATGCAAACATACACTCAGGGGACACACGTGCTAAAAAACAATCTTTTAAAAATGAAAAGGTAAAACCAACGAGACTTTGGGAGGCTAAGAAACAAAGATACACAAATTACCAGTATCAGAAATGAAACAAAATCAGTAGAGATTTCATGGATATTAAAAAGACAGTAATGTATGCGCACTATGCATGATGCACATACCCTTAATCCCAGCACTCGGGGATTACAGAGGTAGGTGGATCTCTGTGAGATCAAGGCCAGCCTGGTCTACATATCAAGTTCCAGGCCAGCTGGGACTATAGGGAGACCCTGTCTCAAAATATCAAAATAGTAACAACAGCATGACAATATCAATAGATGAAGAAAACGTCTAGCAAAAATTGAGTACCTACTCATAAAACTCTCAACAACCTGGGAATAAATGGAAACTTTCTTAGCTTGATAGCATCTACAGAAAATCTACAGCTCACATGAGAAACTTAAAGCCTTTCTGCTGAGATCAGGAACAAGGCAAGAATGTCCTCTCCAACCATTTCTTTTCAACACTGTACTTAGATGATACAATTAAACAAAATAAAAGGTATACTGATTGGAAAAGAGGAAATAAAACTTTGAGGATGACATGTTTGTGTAGAAAATTCAAAAGACTGTGCAAAAAAGCCACCTTAATTAGAAAAAATTTCCATGCTTATTGTAGGAAAGACCCAGTATAGTCCAGATGTCAGTTTTAACATAATCCCAATCCCAATCCCAACAAACTAATGTTGTGGACACTGACAAACTTATTCTAAAATTTATAGGGAGAGTCAAAAGACCCACAACAACCAGCACAGTATTAAGGAACAGAGCTGAGGACTGACTACTCAACTTGACAAGTTATAGCAAGGCAGTATACAGGAGAAAGAATTGACGGATCAAAGGAATGAAATAGGCCTACATAAATATAGTTCACTGATCTTTGAGGAAAGAGCAATTGGCAATAAAATGGAGCAAAGGTAGTCTTTTCTATACATGGTACTATGACTGAACCCATATGCACAGGCTTAAATGGAAAATGCAAACTTAAATGGAAAACTATCAACTCCTAGAAATAATAAAGGAGATCTAGGTGGCCTTATATAGTGACAACCTCAGGAAAGATGGTCTTGGGGTTCGGTTCACAACACCCACCACAACCGCCTGTAACTCCAATTAGAGGGTATCCAACGCCCTTTTATGGCCTCTGGAGGCACTATACACATATGGTGCACTTACATATATGCAGGCAAAACATTCATACAAAAAAAAGATTAAAAAAAAAACAACAAAACTGACGATAACAGCAGGAGCAGGAAGACCAAATAGGAAGCACTGCAGTGATGCAGGCAAAGGAAAGCCATGGCCTAGCAATACAGGCAGAGACTAGTGGTCAGAATTCTGGCCTGTGAAGGTGGAATCATATGCTTTGTTCCTGAACTACATAGAACATGTGAGGCAAAGCAAGGAAAGGATGACTGCTAGGCTGCTCAGTGCTGTCCTAAGGTCAGTGCAGCTGAGTGCAGATCAAACAGTCTGAAAAGGAAGATCAGTTCAGTTAAATCATTACTTAAAGAGACATTAAAGAGGCATTCAGGGGAGAGATGGTCTAGTGATATAAACCTGTCAGCCAACAAAAACAGGTGGCTTATAAAGCCATGATCCAGACAACTCTGCCAAATAACTTGGTAAACACAGAGAAAACAAGAAGTCAGAGGTCTGCACCCCAGTATTTTTACTGGTAGAGATGAAGAGTAGCAAAGGAGACAAAGCACAGTCTGTAAAGCAGATGCAAAATTGTGAGAGTAGAAAGCATGTATCATGGAAGCCTCACAGTGTAAGGGAAAAGGAGCCAAATCAACTGGAAGACAAAAACATTGAGACAAAGGTGTCACAGGGATCACCAACAATGGCACGGAAAGCAACACAGGGTTGAGGGGGCAGCTTGGTAGTGAGGCATTTGTCCAGCATGTGTGGGGCCTGGGATTCATCTCTAGCACTAATTAACAGGAGTAGTATAGGAAAGAATCGAGTCATTGAGAAACGGGGGGTGGGGGTGGGGATGGACACAGTAGGTGACAGCAACATGGAAGGCACTGGATGAGTGGTCTGTTAAGATGAGATTTGAAGCTACAGGAAAGGAGGGAAGGAACACAATCTGAGCTTTATGGGGAAAACTAGCATTTGAGAGAACTGATTCCAGCAATAATTCTATGAGACATCCTAAGAAAAACTAGAAATGAAGCCTCACTGAATGCCCACAACCACAAGATGGAGCCAATGCAGCACCAGCAGGCAGGAGTAGAAAGGCAAAACAAAAACCATGGTGAGCGCACTTGCGCTCACACCCTCGCCCTCTCCCCCCTTCTCCTTTTAGCCTCCCTCCCACCTTCTTTCCTTGGCCTACATACTTCCTCATTCTCCAAAAATGGAGGTGGGGGTATCTCTGTGTTTAGAACCTTTCCTCTTATTCCCATCCACTTATACTTTGAGTACAACATACAAAACTTTAGTGGCTTAGTGACCCAGCAAAATACACAGGGTGGGGGTTAGGGACTGAACTAATTTCATTTTTTTTAATGACACAAAGGATAAAAGGATACATGGTTAAGTTGATACAAAAGAAA